ACTAACTGTACTCGCTATCATTCACTGAGGGTTTTACAAATGGCACCAGAGTCCTGTGGGCCGCAGCTCCTAATGACTGCGCAGCGGGCAGCAGCGCTCTGAAGAGTTTATTATGGACCTCCAAGAACGTGATCTCAGCACCATCCCGCGACAACGCCACTGAACTTCCTCTCAAGCACTGAAGCTTGAATTTATCCGTATGAAGTAGATAATAAATTTTATGGTACCAGCCTACTCTCAATGATCTACATGAGAAGCTAGATTAAAAAGTTTTCCACATTCATTTACTAGTTAATTCAGAGAGAAAAAAGAAGAAATAGCAGGCCAAGAAGCAATTAAGAATTTGGGTCAACTATATAGTGCAACCCCACACTTCAATTTTCTTCTTCACCAGTGGACCCAACGTTTTAAGAAACTGTGTAGTCAAATGACCAATTTTCACTTAATTTCTCCACAGCAAAATATAATAATCATCATCAAATTATCTGCCTACATAATTTGAAATAATGAACTATTTTATTACATGAATACCTAGCGTTATTTTTTTCCTGTAATAAAAGATCATATAAGAGCCCTATATAAATTCTTCCAAGATTCAGAGTTTAATATCTAACTTTTTTCTTCCAAAATTAAAAGATGTGAAAAGGGAAGTAATATTAAACATGAATGTAAGTACTTTATTTTAAAAGTGTATAAAAATCTATAATTACCCCCAAAGCAAGCATTATGAATCCAACTGCTATCAAAAGGAGACAAAAATAAAAACCCCAACCCCTCAAACACTAACATTTCATTAAAAAGAGTTAATATAGTCTGAGACCACACAGGCTGGAATATCTTAAATCAAAACTGTACACTTACTGAAACACGTCGCTGTAAGACAGCATTAACATTGTTTTGGCATTTTGCTTGTACTTTTAACATACCTAAACTTCATTTTATGTTAACTATGAGTATCTTGGGTTTATCTGTTCAAGAATTCTAATGTTCTTACTTGCAAACACGAGGGCAACAAGGTAATTCCTAACAAGACATGACAGTTCAGTATGTGCAATGACTGATAGTAATCATGTTACATGGTAGCATGTGCACAACACAAACCCGTAATTCATATTTTTTAAACTTGCATAAATCTGTATTTACAGATTGCAAGTTACTTTTATTTGAAAATGCATACCTGGTGTAAATGAACTTAAGTCTTTACTAACCCAAGATTAGAAAATTTAATTTTTTTTTTTAATTTTAATTAGCAGGGACAGTTACTGTGAAATTGTGATGTTACTGCATATTTAACTTTTTTATGAAGATGGCAAAAAAAAAATTCAGTTGAAGACTAGCTCAATGTAAACTAAGTTGTCCTATCCTATACAAGTTTTTCAATACATGAGATAATTGCCTTTTAGAGAAATTCATCAACTGTAAAACTACTGGAAGAGGTCTGCCTTAAAAGTAAAAAATAAAAGGCCGCATTAAGAATAAATAGAAATGACAAAATTTAAATGTACACATGCACACATAGAAGCTAGTTGTTATCTTCACACATTCTCCGATAGCAATTTTAGCTTATTTTTGGATTTTTTGTGTGTTGTACTGGCATTTAGTAATTTTCTTCCCCATAACATGCAACTTCCATTGTTTCATTTTCAGTATTTATATTCTTTTCTGTATAGGTGACTTGAAAGAACATTATCACTTAGGTAAAACAATATGACTAATACATCCTATTTTTTGCAGATATAAAAATAAATGGGACAAAATAATTAATTTTGGAAATATTTGCTCAATTCCTTAACGTCCAGGGTATGTGGAACATTCACAATGAAGTCTGTTTCAGACTCAAGTATTTGGTCTCTTTTTTTAGAAAGCCTGCCTTGCTCAGCCTTGCTTGCATTGCTTGCTACAGCACAACTTATTTTGTAACATTGGAAGTGGTGAAACGACACAAATAAGCAAACTGCTGCATATCACAGAATCACAGAACCTTAGGGGTTGGAAGGAACCTCCAGAGATCATTGAGTCCAACCCCCCTTCCAGACCATCTAGTCTAGGGCAGCTCACACAGGAACGCATCCAGATGGGTCTTAAAAGTCTCCAAGGAAGGAGACTCCACAACCTCCCTGGGGAGCCTGTTCCAGTGCTCTGGAACCCTTACAGGAAAGAAGTTCTTCCTCATGTTGAGGTGGATCTTCCTGTGCTCCTACTTGTGACCATTACCCCGTGTCCTATCGCAGGGCATAAGTGAGAAGAGATTGCCCTTTCCTTCCTGACACCCAGCCCACATATATTTATACACATTAATTAGATTCCCCCTAAGTCTTCTCTTCTCCAGACTAAACAGCCCCAGGTCTCTCAGCCTCTCCTCATAGGGCAGGCGTTCCAGTCCCCCAATCATCCTCACAGCCCTTTGCTGGACTCTCTCCAGTAGATCTCTGTCCCTCTTGAAATGGGGAGCCCAGAACTGGACACAATACTCCAGGTGAGGTCTCACCAGGCCAGAGTAGAAAGGGAGCAGGACATCCCTTGTTCTGCTGCATACACTTTTCTTAATGCACCCCAGGAGACCATTGGCCTTCCTGGCCACAAGGGCACACTGCTGTCCCATGGACAACTTGTTGTCCACCAGGATTCCAAGGTCCCTCTCCATGCGGCTGCTCTCTAGCAGATCTCCTCCTAACCCGTACTGATAGTTCATAATGGTACTCATAGCTTCTAATGTTTGGACATAAACAATGTCACATAGCTTTGAGGTAGAAATTTTTTAGTTTTCTTATATAACATTGTTAAATTTTACCTTTATCAATTTCTACTGATTTTAATCAGCTGCAATGCATGTTGGTTGACTTGACACAACTAAAACTAGGCATCCAAGGTATAACTACTTTGAGAGTGTAAATGCTTATTAGCAGCACTGCTTGGGAAAGGACTAGGAACAGGAAATTTCGAAAGAAATCAATTTGAAATTAGCTTGCCAAGGGCCTATCATACTGGAAATTCAGAAAATTCTCTATGTGTTTATACAATTAAGTCATGTTCCCTCAGAGCTTTTTTCATATCATTAATATAATAACATTATAATGCATTAAGATAATGTTAAAGCTTATAAATTATCTAGAAATGCTTTAAATGTTTTCTGTTACATTAATAGAGTGGGTTTCATAAAAACAAAAAAAAAATCATAAAAAAAAAAAAAGAAAGAAGAAAAATGCAAACACAAATATAACCCAAACTGAACATTTGCTTTCATCTCAGTCTTGAATCTGAAATTTAAAAATATGAGGTGGATACCAACATCAGAAATAAGAACTATCAAATGATTCCTTCGGATGCAACTGCGGACGGTCCTGTCAGGTCAATGCCACCTGCAGTTTGGGGAGGCATGCTCAATCACTGTTGTTTGACTCTTGTAATCTCTATGCATGGAACTTCACAAGCACTGTGATCAGTACAGAAAGTTAAATGCACAAACTATTCTAGGAGGAGGTTGCATTAGACAAACATACAGTGTGATACAGCATAGAAAGTAAACAAGAACTTGTTTTCTTTTTACTTTTAAGGTGATTGTTTCACATTTGAGATCTTCACTGAGGTAACAGAATTTGTACAGTTTTCTCTTAAGCTGAGGCTCATTTACATTCATCTGCCAGTGAAATTGTTTTGGTTTGGTTCTAAGAAAAAATGTAACTGATTTTGTTAACTGGTCGGCAGAAATGAACTGGTTTGGACCAATTAATGAGATTGTTTTTGGTTTACTGATCTAAGAAGGAAATTTGGGGGAACAGCAAGGAAAGAAGATGAAGTAGAACAATTCTGGAGGTGGAGAGGACTTCCAGAGGTGTGTGGATAGTCAGTTTTCTATGACTATCTAGATATTAGAATGAGTAATAATGCAATCTCAGACAGGATGATTTAGGGGAGTTGTAGATTCCTTGAAAGGAATCTCCCCATCATCTTCTCTCTTCCCAGTCATAGAACTGAAAAGCTGTTTTCAGAGAACTTTTTTTTATTGATATAACAACTCTATGATGATCTATTTAGGTCCCATCAATGCATATACATAATGTGTTGTTTTTCCCCACACTCATAATTTTTTAATTCATTAATGTTGTATTTTCTCTGCAAATCCTTGCCAAATCATTCAGTGACTCTGGGAGATCATTTAACAACTGCTTGTTGTCAGCTTTTGGGTTGATACCTTCAGTATTCTGTAGCTTCAGCAAACTTTCCGCATTATTATTCACACTTTTCCAGATCATTTGTATATGGGACTCCTTCAGTAAACTTTGTTTCAGACATTTAATCTAGAAATATCTCCTCTCATACTCCATGACAGGTTAGTCTCTTAAGATTGTTTAGAGAGCAATCTTGACAAAGGATCAAGGAAGCCCCATATAAATCATCTATATCTAAATTACAAGATTTTGCATCCTTTAAGATCTGAGAGTGCATTCCAGTAGCACAGGTAAGCACACAAAGAAGCACCCTGACTTTTGATTGGGTGAAACCTGGGTGACCCGTTTCCTCTCCCCAAATCCTATTTAGGAGTTGAAAAGAAACTCAGATGTGTGTACTGCAAACGAACTGCACAATGCTTTGTCCAGGTTTTTGGTCTCAGTGACTGAGGAGCAGGATGAGATCCTGGGATCCTCCTGTGGCACATGGAAGCCTTACACATTACAAGTGTATCAGCTTCATCACTTTATCTAAATACTTGTTAAATGCTTGCAAACGCTACACATTTTGCAAGGCATGTCTGTTGTATGTGTAAGAAAAGAAAGAACAATGAGATTAGCAATCACAGAGAATTTAGCAACTGAGAGTACAACTAAGAGTACAACTGAGTGCCTGACATACACCATCACCTCTGTTTCTGAAAACGATACAGACAAAAAACTCCAACAAATCAAACCAAAGTAAATATTTTTTTTTTTTTTTTTCCATGGATCAAGGCTGAGTAGAGAAAAAATGCTCTTGTGGTAGTAATGCTAAAACAGGAAGATTACCTCACGGTGATTTAGAAGTCTCTCCAAATCTGCTGCCATTTGATTCTTGACACGCAGCAAAGCTGTCTTTTCTTTATTTAAAAGACTGGTAGAAAGAGGATAGGAAATGCAGTTATAGCAACACATAATCTCTTTTAATCTTGTATTCTGGATGAAACACGCATTTTCTAAAGCTAAATACTGGCAACAATGAAAATCTGCTCCAGTAATTGTATCAAATGATCATTATGTTCAAGCATTGGAATTTTTATAAATGGGCTTGAATGTACCGATACATACAAAATCTTATTTTAGACAAACAGAAATACTATCTAAAATCTTCATGAAGCACAAAGTGGAATTTTTTGATTCTCTGAAGGTTGATTTGAACTATCACAATCTTCTATTATTATCTCTTAACTTTCTTCTAGCCAAAATGAGCTCATTTTATAAGCAAAGGAAGTCTCCTTAAACCCATATTTCTATATGAAAACCTGGACTTATTCGTTATATGCATCACTAGTAGTAGCACACACTATTCTCTCAGGATCACCTCTTTTTATACTACTGTAATTAGAATTTTGAAAAAAATAAACCCAAATATAAGGAAGACCAACATCTAGCTCTCCCTTTTAGCTGTATAGTTCCTGCGGAAATTGTCACTGTATTTTTGCCATTTTTAATTTTATATTCCAGGGTAACGTATGGGATCAAGTTTGTCCTATGAAAGTTTGTCCTATGAACCAAGTATGAAACCTGTTTTGGCATGAAGGCATGCTTTTATAGCACAATGTCAAGTTTAACTTTAATTGTTCTTTACTTAGTTATAGAAAATGAATATTTGAAATGTTTACCATGCACATTCTGATTCCAGGCAGCAATTCTAATACAATTAAATGTGTTTTCATGTATAGCCCCAATATCAGTTTCCAACAATAAACTTCAGACTAATGCATACATAATGCCAGTTTGTAATGTAGTTTGTTAAAACAGCCACAGAGATTTTCTTGGAAGATCAATGTTATATATACCATTATTATGACTTAACTAAGCTGTACAATATAAACCATAACATAAAACAGCAATTCTGCATATGGAGTGCAAATATTTAATACTGAATACAGGTCAGGAGTTCAAAAGCAAATGTATTAAAATTTTATATATGGAATGGAGCATTTATATATGTTGCAAACACAAATTATCTAATATTCCCAGTATTTAATCGAGAAATTATCAATAAAATAAATCAACCTTTTCTTTAATTGGCTGTGTATCATCTGTGTGTTTCAAATAAGCAACATCATCCTTTGCCCCAGAGATTTTCTGGCAATTCCTTGCAAGTTTTGTACTGTAAATTATTGCTGTCAATTCCTTCTAGGCATTCATAAATTCCCAGAAAAAAATTGTGTGCTTTGGCCAAATCACTTAGTTGTCTGAGTTATTTAAAAGGAAAGTAGTATCATTTATGAAAAACTACAAAGATACTTTACTATATTAAAGAGTTTTATTTTCTGTGACATTTTTAATCATGATGAAATTGGTGTACTTTTTTTTTCCTGGGTTCATGTGTTGTAACTTACTGATATGTCAAGTTTTTCTTGGATTTCTGTACTTCCTAACAGCATAAACCAATCCTTTTAGAAAATGACTCACAAACTTATAGAGAAGCAATAATAAAAGTTCCTTTATGCCTTTAATAGTGTACTGAATAAGCATAAACATCAGTGTTCATGACTAAACCAGAAGTTCATGTTCAAGGTTCAATTTAATCTACAGAACAGAACCTATTCTATTTATACTAGTTATACCTTCTGAAACAATATGACACGACTGATCCATGTGGAGCAGTTCTAATTTTCTTTGTTTATAGTCAAACACAGGAATTAGATTGCTCTATTATTCAGGGCCACTTGACATGTTTTCTGTCATACATATGAATATAGAATTATCCAAGCACATGCAGACTTCAGATTTAGTAGTTTTTACAATAGTTATGCTTTCTTATTATTGCAGCTATAAGGAAGTAAGTCATATACTTCCGAAAGAATACTGCAAAAGAGACATATAGACATTTAATAGAGCAAGAAAACAGTTACCAGACACAATAATAAAAATTTCACACTTGTAAAGACCAAGTAAAGCAGAAATGCCTTCAAAAATTGAATTCTGGGAAGACGACTGACCGTTTCAGTGTCTGTTATGAAAATGTTCTGAATGGGCATCTTGGATATCATCAGTCAAGTAGGTTCTGGCTTTGAGCTACCCTACACTTCCATCAGACAGTAGTTTAACCTAATCCAGTTTTAACTGGCAGTGTAAACAAATCAGAGAACAGCTTTACAGTTTGTTTCAGCTGACCTAAGGGAAAACAGCTGCTGAAAGATCATCCTTCCCTAACCACATAGTGGTAACCTGCTTTTTGTATTTGTACTAGAAAACTTGTTACCACGCAAGCAGGTCACTTCGCTGATTTAAATGGAAACTGGAGACTTTTCAAAGGTTATTTTTCATGTGGATCACCAAAACAACTTGGTTTACCCATGTACAGTGGAAACCCACAGCTGAAGGTAAGGATGAGACAGCTCCATTTGATGGTGGAGTGCCTTAGCTGTCTTCCTATGAAACCACAATCTCTAAGTCTAGACAAACCAGCTTCTCACACCTGAGCTCAAGTGTTAAAACTTCCGTCTGAAGAGACAGGATCTTCTTAACCATGTTTAACTAACCATACTTTTACATTTCCATCATGCAGAGGTGTGTTAGAGTAGTAAACATTAAAAGAAATCCTCCAATGACTTGTTCTGGGGTGAAAACATGTGAACACTTGGGAGAAGTGGACTGTGTTAAAAGGTCTAATATCCCTGGAGTTGTTAAACAGCACCAGCGACTGTTTTCAGACTGCAGGGCACGTGTAGGTCATGCTGTGCTCTGCAGTCCTGGTCACTGCCTGCCCCATCCAGAGCGTGAAGAAGGTGCCCCTTGTGATATGTCATATAACCGTGGCCCCAAAAGTCCAGGTGGGAGAACTAACTGAAAAGCAGTGCAGCTCCTGCATTTTCTGTGTGCCTGGCTTTCCAGAAGAAACCAAAATGTCTGGAAGGAGATTCAGTTTCATTCCAGCTTTCAAAATCTAGCCAGGTATGAACCTAGGTACCAGGAATGCAAGACTTCCCATGGAATATGGGAGTTATATTCCCATGGAATACACTTGTCATATAGATACACACTGCTCATAAAAACCACTGGCTTGTTTTGTTTCACTTTATTCAGTATCTAAAGCCAAGGTAGGTTAGATATCATAAGTAAGACATTTTTAGGTGACTGGAGAATGGAGGATAACATTTCCCAGTCTTAGACTTTTAAAGCATTTTGAATTTGGGCAATTAAGCCATCTTTTAAATTTCTGGTCTAAGTATACTAGCTACTATCCTGTTCAGAAGCTTCAGTTATTAGGGGTTCTGAATAATATGCTTATGCTGGACACACTAAATAAATCTGATTTTATATATTATTAGTTTTTCTTATTACTTCTATTGAGTTTAAAAAGAAAAGAAAAAAAAAGGGTTTTTTTTTTCAGTGAACTGTGTACCCCAAATGCTGTAAGAACTAAGGATTTTGCCTTTCTGTTAATTTCATGCTACAGCACGATGAAGTTGAAAACTGAAGTCCAATCTTGAGGGCTTTTGTTTTCATTTTATGTTCATATACAGATATTACCATCAAAACGATCAGACACAGAAAAAGTCTATGTAAAAGTTTTGTACATAAAGCTGAATATGTAATATAGGCATATAGTGTAGCTGTCCCTTCTCTGCAAGTTTCAGATGAATAGCTCAGAACAGACAGTTAATTTTTAAAGATTAATTCAAATGTTCTTTTAAAGTCATGTAGTTAGGGAGGTATAAAAAATTCTGCAAATAAAAGTGCTTTAGAAGACAGAATACATGAATAATTTGTGATCTCTCATTGTGCAGCTAAATAGCCACAGATTAGATTTTTGAAGTCGTTTAGGAGAGTATCACTTAATGATTTTAACTGGAGGGCTTCAGGTGGCTTAAAAACTCATCCATGTAGTGTCCAAATTGAAAAGAAGTTACTTTCTCAAATTGTAAAAAAAAAACCCAAACCCAAACAACTTTTTAGTAGTTGCAATACAGGTCTGAAAACATTCATTTGAAGAAAAGAATATATTTTTACAAATTTTGCTTGGAGCATTTCTCAGGTAAGCTGCAATGGTGTTGGAACAGAAGAGATTTCACAGAATGGTAATGTTCCCATAAAAAGCTCATTGCCCGTTCTGTGATGGGAGAAACTCAGCTAACACCGTATGCTGAGCATTATAATATTTGGATGGCAATTAAAGAACCCAAAATGTTTAGGTAAGGAACATTTCAGTACATAGCTTCTTAGTGAGCAAAATCCTTGTACTGCTGCTAGACTTGCCACACAGTTAGGCTTTTGAGGAGTGCTTTTGGGTAAGTGAACCACTTCTAAAACCAGCCATTGGTACAGAGAAATTTGAGTAACTGCATTTAAAATAAATACCCTCTCTTTATGAATGAAGTTCTGTTTAATGTCTCCAGTTATTTATAAACCTAGATGTTTTTTAGCAGAAAATTATGTACTAAAACTACAATTACTTCACTACACACATAAGAATGAAATTCAGAGATTTGTTTTTGTACAGCATGACATAGTTACAAGGCATTTCTTTTCAAAAGGAGTGCTAAAAGGGATGTTTTCATTTCTGGTTAAAGAACTGTATGCTAGAGAGATTTCTTTATAGTAGGAAGGAGTCATCCTCATATATATGACTGCTCTTATTAACTATCGCTATTTACTGCTATTAACAAGAGTGCTGTGTGGACTCACATAAATGAGAGGTTACTTAACAGAATATTTTGAGATACGTGGACCACCTATAAATTCACCCTGCAGATGCCCTGTCACTCAAGACCAGCGGTTTCATGTCCGAAATGTATCTGCAGGTGCACGGCTCAGCTCACAAGCACATGGAGTGTTCTGCTCCCAGGGCCACCTTGGTTCTCCCCACAACCAAGCGCCAGCACAACCCGTGGCCTACCTGGGAGAATTCCAGTGGGTGGGGAAGGAAAGTGGTAGTGAACATATGTGTGGGCAGCATCTGACAAGAGCTTCGGTTACTCCTAAACAACCTCTCCTTTCATCTTTGAGTGGTAATACACTTGTGCCTTCACACTTGCATCTAAGCAGCAATATCACATACCTGTAATAACCCGGACATGGGTGCCCAGGTTGTTCATGCAAGTGACTGACAGCTTTGACAGCTGCTCAGCCAAGCATTTACCCCAACCACAATGGCTCTTGCAGTTCTTAGTCAATGTATGGCTGAAGATCCACAGAGCTGTGTGAGAGATGTCCAGAACAGACACACTTTTCAGCAAGCCAACAAAGTATTTCTAGCTCTGGTGGAATGTACTACTTGAAGGCTTTGATTCAGTCTGGTGCCTATTTTGACTCTCTCCTTTCATGGAGAGGCTGGGTGAGGCTTTGAGCAACCTAATGTAGTGGAAGATGCCCTTCCCAATTGGAGCTTGGAACTAGATGATCTTTAAAGGTTTCTTCCAACCCAAACCATTCTATGAGTCTATAATTCAGGTTGACAGCTACTGACACAAGCAACCTTGAGTACTATTTGGATAGTGCTTCCAAGTGAGGAAGACATTTAATATGGAAGGTCTGAAAGACAGTCTTAGCTCTAGGGGTGTGACACTTAAGGAGGAAGGTGTGTAAGCTTCTCTGGTTAAAGTGAACTTTGAAGACCACATTGGAAGGAAACTTAGATGGATCTGCAGGACTTCTCAAGAGTATTATATCAAAATGATCTGCTTGAAGCTGTCCAAATCCTCTCGTGGAAATAACCGCTGTCAGAAATGACACTTTCATAGAATGATGCAGTGTGGAGAATCCTGAAAACATCTGTTGCCCATCAAGGAACCACGCTGTAAGTCACTTCAGAACATTCTGTGAAAACTCAGTAAAAATACGGCACAAGGCCATCCACAAGAAGATTGCTGTCACAGACAGCCTCTCTCATACCTGTCTTACTCGTGTGCTGATTTCATCAAGACAGCCTATTTCATCACAGAATCAAAACCACATCCAGTAGCAACCAAGAGCCTTCTCAACAGACAGGGAAGTACAAAGCACTGCAGGTTGCTGCATTTATAAGGTTGCAAGAAAGTACTGACTCATCACCCTGGGAAATCTGCTGGACCCTAACCACCCTAGGAGTACGGCCTAAAAAGATTATTTGCCGTCAGCGCTGTGCACAGAAGGCAATCACCGATTAAGTCTAAAAAAGTAAATTCTCTTGCAAATTAGTCCTTGCTGATCCCTGGACACCCGAGTTAAGTGAGAGGTGACAGAGAACACTGACACTGATAACAGAGGTGGCTCCTCTCCTTAGGGAATCCATGATTTACACAATGCAGAACCGTCTCTCTTGACGAGCAGATGAGATAAAAACACAACGTGAAAAGAACACTCCTCCACCACAGATTCTGCACACTAAACATGAAGGAAGGAAAAATGTGATAAGCACAGGGCAGCTGTGAGGATAAAATAAAGTATTCAGTCTTGATTGTCAGGGCACAGGCATATCATCATTATCTTCTTTTGTTTACAATCTGGTACTCAAATTGGAGACTTAAAAAAAAGATGATTTTTTTTAAAAAAATCACTAGTATTTTTAAAGATCTGCCTAAAACCAAGAAATTGAACATTATTTTTATGTTAGCTTGTACTTGTGAAAATGCTTTTTATAAATAAAACTAATGCATACATAGTATGTAAAATTTTAGAAAACAATAATGTACTTTGTGCAACTGCAGCATAAATTAAACCTCAAAGTGGCAACTGGAGAATTTCAGTATTAACTATAGGCAATGGCTGAAAAAAATATTTCATTTTGAAATGGCTTTACAAATATTAACTTTTCCACTTAGCTCTGTGATACAGATAAACCAGGCTTTATAAACCATGTTTAGTGTTTTCACTATTACTTTTTGTAATAGCACCACCGCTATCTGCAGAATTCAGGGCCCTCCTTGAGGGGCATTAATTCTCTGAACTCATTCTCTCAAAAATATTCGACACAAACCAACAAAATACTGTTTAATAAACTAAGACAGATAGGAATAGTGGGCTAAATCTTTTGATCCAGCAGAGCTTCACTTGGCATATATTTGGTAGGGATTATCATTAATTTACTTAAATCCCATTCTGCTTCAGTTCTGGAATAGCTGGGAGCTACACTGGTCCACAAAGTAATCTGGCATCACCTAAGGGATATTTTAATTTAAAACTGGCATCAGCAGATTCCAAAAGGCTATCCTCCTGACAGAAGATTCCTGGAACGTAATGGTTCTCTGGTTAGAAATCCTTTTCCTAACCTTCCTCTCACTTAGAGGAAAGCAAAGGACCAACATTATCAATTTTATACCAGGTTATGATTTCTCCTGTGCTCCAGGGAATATCAGCTAACAATTTAGGACATTTCTTTTAAATGTGGAGTTATGAATGGCAAAATTAGGGACTACTGATATGTACCAAAAGCCCTAAGAAGTTAGGCAGATTCCAAGAATTTCACTGGCTTAAGCAACTATGGCAAAGTTAAGGCGAACTTGTGATAAGGGAGCAATAGCTACTTTTAGTTTAGAAGGAATACCAGAAACTATGGGAAAAAACTTCTTGCCAAAACATTTGATGTGTAAAGTAAACGTTGCTTTTTGCTACAAAACCATTAAGGATTTTTTTTTTTTTGTCAGACCACGCTTTCAGTTACAGAAATACAGACTAGTGGTGAGCACTCCCCCGCTCACCACAGCAGGGTACTGCTGGTATGTTAACCATGAATACTCGTGCTGTGGTGCAGATCCAGTTTCTTCCTCAACCTCAGGCACTTTAAGATGCCAAAAATTCCCTTTACAGTTAATGGAGAGTAACAAGCATCTCTAGCAAATGACTCACTCCATCCAAAATCTGAATTGCTTTTTGGATGTGCCACTTCCTGCAAGAACTACTAAGGAAAGCTGACCTAAGCTCCTGATTTAGTTGCCTTAAAGTGTAGGCTAAATTTAGAAAGAAAACCTGGGCATACAGACTATTTGTAATGAGCTAGAAAAACTCAAGAGAATCAATGCTAATAATGCATTTAAGTTCTTATATATTTTAAAGGCATGAAACACTTTCAGAAATGACCTCACTTATTTACTTCTTTTTTTCCCTAGCTTTTGAGAGACTTTTGGACTACTATGTGACTAATTAAAGATGTTTTCATGCTACCATAATCTAAAAATTTAATTTGCTAATTACCAATTTGTTGATTTTTTTTTTCTACAATTGGAAAGCAAGATCCAGAATATGCAGAGAACACTGTGATTTTTCATCTCCTATATAATAAATCTAAAATATATATTTACAGAAAAATATAATCTAACTTTGAAGTTTTTCTTCTAGGAAGTCTAGGAAAATATTAAAAAAACTTGATTTTGGAATAAAAAAAAAAATCTATTCTTACTGAATCAAAGTTAAGCCAAATGAAAGGTATCTTGTCAGGAAGTATGAATGAATATTTTACATTATTTATAAATGTATAGATTTATGTATAGATTTACTGGGTTAATAAGCATTTTTAGGTATTCCTCAACACAAAACAAATACTATTCCAAAGCATAAAACCATCCTGAATAGATACATATGTAAGGCAGTATGTAGGGTAAAATATTTAGCCATGGTGAGCCCTACTTTTTCTATCTTCATTGATTCAGCAGATTTGTTGGAAAAAAACTGTATTTTTCCATGCAATTGCTTATAATACAATAACATTAAAGCTCTGTAATTGTTATCTCATGCGTTTCCTAAACCTTAGTCACCACAGAAACACCTGAGAGTTCAATGCTAATTCTTCTGTAGTGTAGTGAGTGGGACACAGATACCCACTTCCTTGAAAACCAAGAGGCACATTATTTTCTAATAGCTTACCTGGGAACCAGAAGTGAAACATACTTTATGAAGCTACATGATGGTGTGAAGCTGCTCAGTTGTCAGAGTTCTGACAGCTGGATCTAACACGAAATCAGAGGGACTCCAGTAGAGGAAATCTGCTCAAGTTATCCCCCAAATACCCTTTGCTGGTGGTTTTCTCTGTCTTTATTTCTTTGTTTTTACTTTGGTACTTTTGGTATGCCATTCATTCCTTTTACACTTCTGACCTTTCTTCTACTTCATGAGAGCTCTTCTCAACCCCAAACTCACTTTAAACCTGCCATTGCTGCTTTTCCAAACCTAAGGCCTCTTTTTCTGACAGTATGAGAGAAATCACAGATGCTAGAATTCTAGTATAAAGACTGGACTTAGTCAACGATGAAAAGTCAAAATCTCCTACTTTATGGCTAATAACATAATTGTTTTCTAATAATAAACAGGTAAGTGATTTTATTTTCAATTCAAAATAAAGAAACAGTGATTATAATTACCTGACATCTTTTTCAAGTTGTGCAATATGTTCTTTCTGTTGACTTATTTGAAAGTCTCTCTGTTGCACAGTTTCAATGAGGTATTTGTATGGCTGTTGTACTTGACTCAACAAAGACTTTGCACTGTCAAGCTGCCAAATAAAGAAGTAATACTGTTATAAATTTTATTGTTTATAAAGCACAATTACTTATTATTGAATTATTTTTGGAAATTATTCATTATTACTAATTGCAAAATAATATAAAACCCAAACTTGTTATTTCACACACAAAAAAAGAAACTACCCTCAAGATACTATCTAGTACATTATCCTTTTACTTTCTGTTTTAATTATACATTATTTTCACTGCAATCATGCTACCACTCTCTATACTTCCCTAATCTGTATTTTTAAGAATTTTAACAGCTTCCATTGATGAAAAAAATTAGTATAGACACAGTCTGTTTGTTCATTTTATTAACCACAAATGACATTTTTTAAACAGTATACTATTACAATGGAATTTTCAGCTCCGAAATTTGTTCTAAATAAAACCACAGTAATGATGGAAGAAAAGTTCCCTTTCCTCTAACCAATTACTGTATATGGACAGTGAAATCCAACAGGATGTTTATAAGAGTAGTATAAAATAATTCTCATACCCCTAAATAAGAAAATTCTGTAGCTCTATTCCCTGAACAAATTAGGATCACTATGTTTAAAACACTTGCATGATACGGCTTCCATCTTGAGCAATATAAGATCATTTACTGAAAATAAGTACAGAATTAAGAATCAAGCTTCAGCAGCTGGAGTATATATAAGCCAAGAATACCAACCAGATTCTTTCAAAATGAAATTAAAATCTTTTGATGTTTAGACACAAACAGGTCTAACGGAATGAATTCAATAGAAAATGGTTTCCAAGTATTGTATAAAATTTTTCAGTAGACTAAACTGCCAAATCAGACTATGGAGACAGTTGTCCTGTTTTGTGTTGTTCCAAAAAAGCAGGGACAAACACTCACCCTTCCTATAGAACTAGCCCATGTAAATAATATTTCAGGACTTTCCTAAAATCAGATTTTTCTTCTATACACAATCTTGAAAACATGAGACTGTGTTTCCTACTTTCTCTGATTCCATTGTATTTTTATTGTAGTTTTACTTCTGTCCTTTACACTCTGTCAGATGGGCAAAAAACTTCACATTTATGTAATGCTTCACATTTATTAAAAACCAGAATATAGACAGAATCCCCAAACAGAATAGACACAAAACTTTGCTTCCTCACCTTACTGGCCTTACTAAAAGGAGAGTTAACTCTACCTCATGCAATCATCTTCTTGAAGAATATAATCATCCTCAATAAATTGATAAGCAATTAAAAATGCTATTATTTTTCTAAGAGTACAAGCTATCAAAAAAGACTCTTTCAGGAAAACAGTAGAATCTTTACATGAAAATCAGGTAATTCCAAGACAAGAAGTACTAATCTCTAGGATGGTCTAAAAGTTGGAGTACAAAACCTTAAGGCTGCCATTATTATAGGAGAAAATTAATCCAACCTATCTTGTTTGGAATCTTGTCCTTGATAGCCTAAGAACTTTCAAAGGATGTTGTCATCACAGTGTGAAGTTTCTCATTGTTCTCACTGATAAGAATTGAAGTACTTCAGTGGGAAAGGACAAGTAAGCTTGGTTTGATGTTGTTAATTCATCTGTTAACTTGCTAACTTTACCAGCTGAAGAGCATGCTGCTGTTATGAAAAAAGGCTAACCCTTCCCTCTCCATGGTGGTGCTTTGCTGCCTCCTTGACTGTATGAACTTAAAAGGTGTTGTCATTAAAGTGTCATCAAGTACACATTACATGGATCTAATGGAACAATTTTACTAATATACACATGTATATAAATTAAAAGAATGACAAAAAAAAGAGAATGTCTTCTTTTATTTCTTTAAATCTAATACCTTGCAATTGGACATTTATTATTTATCCCTGAAAGGATATCTCTGTCAAGCTTAGGGATTTCATCATTGTTCAGTTTGATCTACACTCACTCTGAAAGAGTGAGAAGTAAACCTGCCTTTTTTTTTGTTTCAGCTGAGGCAGACAAAAAGCACAAATACAATGTCATGACGGAATCTCAAAAAAGTCATTCAAAAGCAAGTCAAATGCATCAGTTTAATAAATTTCTTTAGTTAGTGTGTCACTTTTACTGTATATTGACTTTGCTTTTTAAGTCACTCAAAGACCATATTAGCCTTCTAGACACAAGAGACTGTCTATCCATCAGTCCTGGCACTGTTGTTCAAAGCCTCCGCAAAGTGAATTCATCAGCAGTAAATGCAGCACTTGCAGATCACTGCTCTGCAGAAGCTGCTATAGTCCTCCCTGTACTTAAACTGAGAGTAACAGGAACTATCACTAGTGGAGGATCTTTCTTGGGTCAGCTAATGCGAATTCCTTTAATCTCTTTGTCCTAGACATGGTGAACAAACCTGTAGTAGGAAACAAGTACTTTAACATTGCAGGCCACTGCTATACAAAGCAACAGAAAGAGGACTTGAAGGGAAAATTCTTTTCTAATGCTGTATCGTGACCTGAAAATAGATAGGATCCTGCAGTTAAATAAAGCCTGACAAACTATAACAGGACTAACTGAAAACGGACTATTCTTTTTTCAGCAGCTAATTTTTTCCATAGGGTTCCACCTTTCAAGCAGGCACATTATATCAGGCTTCCATCAAATGAACAAAATTACAGAGGACTGAATATTTTCTTCTTGGTAATGCTGCACTTTCCCAGATCACTATGATTCCTTTCTATAAAGCTCACTAGGAATTGACTGAGGAGAGTCCAAAGAAAGAATCTTAGAAAGAGCATCCATTGTAGCTACTGCAATCTTTTTTCTTTCCCTCCCTCCTTTAAAGAGCTTAAAAAATACTATATCATAAATACTGCAGTGAAATATCAGTATTTAATCCCAGTTCAAAAGAAAAATTGGTCCTATCGTTTTGGCATCAAATTCTAATTCATGTCCTAGGTTTCATCTAGATGACTGACCTGTCAACTAAAAGAATAATAATGTGCTATCTGAGCATGGTGTTATCTACAGGATCTCTGTTGTGTTCTTAAAAAAAAATATCAAGAAAGACAATATCTTGGAGTAAAAAAATCTGTCTTGTCTCAGAGGATGCAGTGAAGAGCAAACAGAAGTTTATGAACTTTAACTATATAAAGAAAGATAAGAGATAGCAATTAGTATAAAGTATGAAATACAGAAAATTTATAAGACAAGCTGTAACTTCAAGGGGAAAGTTGATACTAGCAGGCATAAAACTCTTAGAACAAAAAAAAGCAAAATGGCTTGTCATCAAACAATATGGCCTATAATCATATGCAAAAGAAAAAAAAAAGAAAAAAATCTGAAGCATTCAGTCCTAAATGCCAGACATGTTTAACGTGAGACAGAAAGTAAGTTTAAAAAAAGATTTAATTTAACTCTGTGAGTTTGACGTTTGTAGGCTTAGTAGCTGCGCATTAGCTATCTGTAAGACGTTTAACTTTATACTGTATGGAATTCCTATTTAAATTATACAATTACATGATAAAAGATAAAGAAAGGGCTACAGGACATCTCATGGGAGAATAAAAACTAGGTGAAGATGTTCTAGTAGAATTTTGGAAGAATTTGAACTAAAGTTACTGGTACTGAATCTTCCATCAGTAATCTAGAAGCAAACATAAGCCACTGTGGGTAAGAAGAAATGTACAAAGTGGAAATCAGACAGATTTAAGTAAGAAACAAAGCATAGATTATGTTAACTATAGTGAAAGAACAGTGATAGAGAAAAATACCAAGGACAACACTGGATGGATAGGATAGCTAGGATACAGCTAAGAAGAATCCATAACAGATTGCAGTACTGGTTAAAAAAAACCCAAACCAAACCCAACAAAACCCCAAAATTTCAATGTTCATGTATCTTTTATTGAAATCATATACATAATCATATATATACACATCTAAAATACATACAACTCATGTAATTTTAAAATATGTAGAAAATGACAGTATTTGCACTGTGAAGTACTTGAGTGCATTTATCCTAATTTGTGATTAACATGGCTTTAAAAATTAAACTGTTAACCACATTCCTGAAATAGTCAGCCTAGAAATTCCATATGGTGGAAATATCTAGTAGCAATTCTAGAAGTTCTTTGGTTCCTAAGAGAAACTGAAAAGACAACCTTAAAAATATTTCAAAAAATCAGTTTGCCCTAATTCTGCGACATTCCAAGCTGAGTTTTGTTTAGTGTTTGTTCTCCATGTCAATGTAATAAATTATTTCAGGTATTATATACAGAATTATAAAAGATCATGAAATTAAACTCATTGGAACAAAGTAAAAAAAAAAAAAGGTTTTCTAAAAAGCACCTGATGGGAAACTTTCTCTAGATTTTTATACTCAAAAGACTCAAGAACTGAATAATGTAGAAAGGGATTTACAAAAATATTTTAATAAGTGATTTAAGAGAAAAGCCATGTTAAAACTAACGAGGTATTCATTGAACAATAAACTATCAAACAGAACAAACTAGTCTGGCTAGCTGGTCTTCTGTTCAGAAATCAGAACGTTGTCTGTCTGGCTTATATTCTTGTTTAGCCTGTAAAGTAATCCCTCTTTCAATCTTCATTTCACAACACAATATAAACTTCTTTGAAAATGTTTAATGTAGAATTTTGATTAATTATGGGGCCATTTTTTGACATCAAATAGATAACAAACTGTTTCAAAAATATTTCCTTTTATGAACAGCTGTTCTGAAATGTTTATAGTCTCTACAGATTTGATTTCTTTCTAGCAGTAATTTACCTCTTGTGAAATCTGTGTTACTTGTTCCTTCTGATGTTCCAGATCTTTTACAAGCAACGAGTTTTGCTTTTCTAGCTGCAGTAACCTCCTTGCCAAGTGAACACTGTGTCAATAAAAAGCAAGCTCAAGTTGAATTTTTTCCAAAATATGCAAAAGAAATTCTCGCATTTATACTTCAGAACCTCATTGCCTTAATTTTTCACCAATGCTTAAATACTAATATATAAATTACACAGTGGAACGTGTGGGATGGTCCAAGTTAGAAAAACAATGAAAATGTTACAAAATTTAACAGCACTGAAATAGCACTCCCACAGTTATGCTGTTGTAATATTTTTTACAAAGTAATTTTAACTATATAATTTGTACAACACCACACAATTGTAGTAATCATGTCAAAATGTTTCAAGTAATTATGACTATCTACTTCTTGGAAACTCTAGGGAATCACTGTAATCAGCTTTTCCTTAAATATTTTTTTTTAAAAAATATGCTTATCAATATACATTTTGTACTGGCACTGAAAACTGTCATATTTTATCATTTTCAAACACAGGTAAAATTGTTTTGTCTGACATGTAATATGCTAAATAATTAAGTGATATTGCCACTTTTTAAAAAATTAAACTCTTACGTAGACCCACAAATTAACTTAGGAGTGAAGAGACAGGACTTCTGAATTAATTAAACACCCTAGTTAAAAAATTAGATCCTCAACCTCTTGCATCTTTCATGGCCAAAGTCATAAGTGTTTATCATCAATTAAACAACATAGTTCCATAGGCAGCAATGGGGAGATTCAGCATGCAATTACTGAGCCTACTTCCAGACATCTAACCTGGTCTTTCAACTTGTTATCCATACAGCCTGACCATATTCCACTAAAGTGGACTCCTGGATGGTGTACTGAAATGTACTCCAACTCCAACAACTGCACTGATTAGAACTCAGTTGGTTATAATGGGAGGTTTCATGCCAAGTCCCCATGCTAAACCTATGACTAGATGTCTGAATTGACGTATCTTGTAATGAATCCTGCCATCTTTGTAAGTGTCATGGTTTGGGTTAGAACAGAACTAATCCTGTTCAGTTATTTTACCACTCAGCACAGTCTCTTCCAACTGCACTTCCTGATCTTAGCAGCACATTTTTTGCAGACAGTGTCTGCTTCTAGCAGTGATAATGCTCCATGTTTAGAGTTACCACCAAGGATTGGTGTGCAGAAAGACTCTTACTAATACTTGCTCCTGTGGAGACCAAGGCCACTGCTAAATCCTGTCTACCACACTGGAAGGGTACAGAAAGTAAAAAGCCACACCTGCAGGGACGAGCAGACAGAACAGAATGACCCTAAACTGACCAGTGAGGTATTGCACCCCACATAGGTCATGTTCAGTATAAAGCTGAGCAATCACGAGGGTCAAGCTCCCTTCTTCAACAGCCGGTGTCCAAGAGGGACTCTGTCTGTCCTGCCTTTCATTCCCATCCATGCTGCTAAATCCAGCTCCTGAATGTGGTTCCCATCTGCTGCCAAGTCCAGTCTGGCACTTCCCCAGTGCCTGCTCCACAACATCAGTGGGGATGGTGATGTAATTGTTGTCACAGGGTGGGTTCTATATTGGGTTTGTATATATTCGTATATATTTTGTTTCATTATTTTCATTAAAGTTGTTTTAGTTTCACCTGTGTGAAAAACGTACCCCTCCATACAGTCTTTTACTTTCACCTATGTATGAGAGGAATTACCTACTGTTCTCAATAGCATGCAGTAAGAGTTTGGTTCTCTCAGTTACTCTTACAAGGAATATTAAACTGCATAAATAGTAACTACGAAAAAGAGAAATTAATTCTCCAAATTAGTTATTTGGATTTTTATTTAAGAGATACAAGATGTTTGTAATGATCTCATCTAGTACAAAAGAGAAGCGAACCACTTCTCTGACTAGTTAGGGATCTTATACATTAGCTTTGGAGTGAAAGGGGGAACTTGGATACCTTCCCATGCTAACTTTGGGAATGTACCTCATCATAATTTTCCCAGCTACAACTAGTCAGTGAACTTGACAGGAATATACAAGTGACATCTTATTCTGGGAAACTTTGATTCCAACTATAGTAGAAAATTATGCAATGCTCAAGAATGTGATAATTTATTGTTAGCAAACCACTATAATGTTCCTGGTAGTATTTCTGGCATTTACTTGTTAACACTCTCCCAAAGAGTTCAAAGGCACAGCTGAGGAGTAAGTGTTGGGAAGGCACCATTGCCAATACATAGCTCACGTGCAGCTTGAAGCTAACCTACCCTTATAGTTCAGTTTTAGCCAAGTGAGCTACTACATGCCATTTGGTCTTGATGCTTCAGAATGTTCCTAGGCAGAGGACTTTAGAGCCCTAATGGCTCAATGGTTGGACTTGATGATCTTGGAGGTCCCTTCCAACCTAAAGGATTCTATGATTCTATGATTCTATGTTTAACTTGCTGCTCTGGGTGGATGGTGCCTATGCCCAAAGTAACAGAACAGTTGTTTCTGGCAAACAGGCAAAAAGGTGTAGACCTTGCAATGCACCATGCTTGAATATGTGGTTTTGTACAAAGTTTCAGAGACCGAAGTCCGTGCTGTGAACTTGTAAGAGCTCTTCGTTTAAGAGCCTATAACTCTGGAATTAAAGATCAAGTAGTGGACCCCAAAACCAAGATTATTCACATTTGTAATATATTCTCTTTCCTTAAGCAACCCTAGAGAGCACAAAACTTATCTGTGTTTCTTTAGTGGGTCTAAACATAAAAGTTGGTGTCACAGAGACTTTTCTTTAAAGTTTAGGGAGTTGAAGGCATCACACACATTTTCTGCATGGCAGTTTGCCTTGAGTTAGAACAGCAGCAGGTAAGCCATAAACAAACTTTTAAGGGTTTTGAATATTCTTAATTTTAAAAGATAAAGTATATGGTCTCCAACACTATTATGAAGGATTAAATCAGCTTCATCAGCCAATGCCTTTTGGAACAGAAGAGGAATATATAAGACATTCTGACAGAGCCACTTCCAAGCTCAGAAAGTGTCTTCCAAGCACAATCCTGGCTTATTGATCATTAGAGTCACCATTTAAGGGTGAATTAGCAGAATTATATTTTTTTATATGTAAATAATCTAAACAATCTAATAAGGTGGTAAAAAAGAAGGATTGAATCTGAAACTCAGAAAAATTCTCAGACTAGAGGAAGAAGGAACTGAAATTTTAGGAAATGATGCTATGGAACTCTCAACAATCTCCTAAACAGATATGCAACTGGGTTAGGGAGTTTTTTGCCCCCTCCCCCTTTTTTATGCTAATCAAACTGGCTGAATTATAAGACAAAACATAATGCACATATCTTCATTTACTTTATCTTGAACACGTAAATTCAGGAGGCACTTTTTTACCTTTGCTTTAGTCGTCTTTTGGCTGTTGTAGGAACATTAGCACCATATCCATACGAGAAGAGAACCCTTTCAGCTTCAACTTCATTTTCCACTGAAAAAAATTACAGAAGGGTACTGTTGAAGAACATACTAGTGTGCAAGAACTTTCAAACTTCTAAGCAATTATATTTATAATTATACATGTGCCCAAACACTTTTCTAGAAAACAGATTTTCTATTGGTGTAATCTCCTCGACTTGAGCGGAGCAGTTTTGTTCACAATTAGCATTAATACATTGCAATACATTAATTTCTTATAATACTGGCAAGCTTTTAACTTTTTATTTTTCTCATTAACATAAGACCTGTGCAAAATTAAAGTAAAGGAAAAGACTTCAGTGTCTGTGAATATTCATGTTACTGGCATAGTCACAAAACACACAATAATAGTCTAATTCAGCAGTACTGGGTTAGGCTGCTTAGGGTTTTTTCCTAAGGAATTAATTTTCTGTGCATACATGAGGAAGTAGAAGAAGATAAAATTAGAGGGTGCTTAAGCAGAATGGACATAAACAAGTCCACGTCACCAGAAAGGACAAGCTCTCTGAGGGAGCTGATGTCTCTGTGAGGCTGCTCACTACCATTTTTGAACGACTGTGTTGATCAGAAATTTCTGATTATTTGAAGAAAATAAATGCCATATGCATCTTCAGAGAAGGGCAAGAAGGAGATTCTTATGCTTATGCAAAGTAAAAATACTAAAAATAATCTCTGCTTCCATAGATGAGTGCATTTCTGAAAATATATTTCTAGGGATATGAAACACATTAGGAAATGATGTGACAGTCGTATCTGACCCATCTTTCCTAATGCTCCAACGTCTTAAAACCAGAAATATCTTCTCCACATCTTTCACATCATTAAAACTTCTTTCATCACTTGTTTAATACCCTTTCAATGTTATTTTAAAGAAGGATTGTTAAAACACATTTAGAAAAAGAAAAGCCTCTAGTAGAGCACTTGGGTAAGTCACATATCTAGTTACACGAAAAAACAATACAGAAATTCCAGTAAGTATGACAGAAAAAGTTTACTGATGTGGCAGTACAAGGGCACCAGAATTTCAGATTTTCAAGGCTGTTTTAGTTCTGACAGGAAATTTTCCAGTGCTTTACATACCTCTGTTTCAGAAAAACATTAAAAAAACCCACCCACATTTAACCTGCCTTTGTCATAATCCTTCTTTTTTGGTTACAAATTCAGTGTTGTACACATCAGAAAAATGTCTGTAAGATTCATATCTGTCATTTGTGTCCATGTAAATGTCATATTGTGAAGACAAACACAAAAAAAATGGAACTGTTGTACATATGAAACCAAAGTAATGTTCTATATCAGCGTGTGCTTCTGTTATCTTCTTTTATGTCTTGAAAGCCTCTTCATCTGACTTTGTGGTGTAAAATATATATTTTACAAATTAGGGGACACTTATTAATGACACTTTTTACACTACTTAGCAAAAATAGTGTAAAAAATTGTGAGGATACAGATAGGTTCAATCGTTTTCTTTAAAAGATATTAACCAATGGAAGCAAGAAGAATCAAATAACTAGCCCACAACACAAATATCCTAGAAAGGAAGAATAGACAAATGCCAAAAAAGTTTACTATTGTTATTAATGTGGAAACCACTCAGATGCTGCAACGATTGGCTACATAAGTTCTTGATAGTTTCCTGAATAGGCTGTTTCATGTTATTTCAATATTAATAAAGTGAGGCATAATGATGAAGGAATAACAGTCACAATTCAGTGATCTTTTCCACATGCAGATTCTCCAAAGGAAAAAAAAAAAAAAGTTTGTATGATTATATGACAAAAGCCACCTCACATGTGCAAGTACAGTTTATTAAAAAGTCCAGAGAACCCAACCCCTAGCAGCAACCCCTAATACTGTAAAACACTGGAGGCTTCGTAAGTCAAGAAAAAAACATTACATGGTATTGAAAGCAGTGACCACAGAACTGAAAAGTAAAATCTTATTCTCATTAAAGTCCACAGAAAATTCTAATTGTCTTCAATAATATAAATGCTTCAGCGTAAATTATATTCTCTGAAAGACAGACTGCAGTATTTCCAGAATACATTAAATTTGAAAAATAATAATATTTCCTTTCTTTGAACTATTTTTCTACCTTTAGCTATTTATGACATGTAAATACCATGACAATTCAAGACAGGAGAAAGCATGTCTCTATTCTCCTTCAAAGTGCCTTTAAAAAAGAAATGTTTTTATTTATTCTGATTTTTCTAAGAAGTTCCTTTTGGTCTTGGAATTCAGTCTTAATTAGTATTAATATTAACTTTCAAAATCAAATACACTATAATAACAGTAAGAAAAAACAATGTTAGCTATTAAATAGAAAGTATATTGAAATAAAATTGAACAGTAACTCCCTTTTTTCTCTCCAACAAAAGGAGAAAATAAAGCAAATATATTTTAACAGAACAGCCCTTTTGGAAACTTTCTTTAAGTCATATTTGGTAGCATAAAAGATGTGATTCTAACAAGTACAACCTGCGGTGTATAAAATTAAGTAAGTATGTACAATCTAATTACTAGAGATACTCAGATATTGCTGCATCCCAGCAGTACGTACTTTGTTGTATGCTGTCAGTTATATATAAAGATTATGCAATGATCTTCTACCTGGAAAATGTTACTTATAAATTGTGAATATATTTTGGAGGAGTAAAGAAAGAGAAAACGACAAGAAGATAGAATTATTTTGAAATCTTAAAATGTCCTACTCTGTTTGCACACAGGCCAAAAGACTTCAAGATTATGAGTCTTATTGTCAAATTAGAAATTACTTGCTTTATGGAAACATTTAGGCTGAGTATCAAATCAAAAGAGATACCAGAGAAATTTTGCTCTATTTGAGAACAGATACTGTTGTTTTTGCCAACAAGAGACAAAAACTTTCAAGAGTAATCAGCCTGAATTTAATCCAGGATTTAGTACTTGGAACAGACTGATCTGCCACAAGCAACTACTTAATATCGAATTATTATTAATTCAGCACAAGGAAGAGCTGTTTTTCCCCCCGTTCATTCAAAAATTCACATTAATCACTGTATTTTGAAACCCATAACTCTCTGTCAACAAAGAGGGTTTCCTGGTATTCTAAATATACTTTAATAATAGAAAACCTAGAAAAAAAAATAAAATCTAATCCAATGGATGATTCAAATAAGGTAAAGAGAAATAAGGGAAAAGATACGCTGAGATGATTTTAATATCTTTATTTCTAAGTTCATGTTTATTTGATGCATAAAGCACATTTAGAAACCTGTCATTAATATTTTCTGTCAAAATAATTGCTTCATCTTAATTGCCAGGCATGAGGAGGGAGAATGACAGGCACTGTAATACTTTGCAAGCACCATGACAAACAAGACGTCTTGTCATAATGCCAGAAATACCTACAGATACAATATAATTTATGACAAAACTTACTTTCTGCTGTCTGCAATATTATCTCGTCAAGCTCTTTTTCAAGTTTTTCATAAGTATCTAGCCTCGCTTGATACTCAGAATTCTGTGTTTGAAGTTCAATAATGCGTGTTTCACTAGAAGACTGAAGACTATAAAATTCCTTAGTAAGCACCTGCAAGAATGAGTAATGGAAAGATCAGAGATTCAGCACTACAACTACTTGAGAAAGGCAAAACATAATACATGTAAAATGCTTGGCAGTATGATACTAAATATTTGGTGTAACTTTTGCACAGGAAAGCTCTAAATACTTTAAAAAGCAGTTATTTTTTCAACTACATTATCTTGCACAGATTAGACTCTCAGGTCATATCACGCCTATCTCCTAAGGCCTAAGAATCTATCTCTGAAAAAGCTACAAGAATTTTAAATGAGACTTAGGAAAAGCAATGTAACAGCTAAAAAAAATTATACACAGCAGTTAAAACAGTGTAAGAATGATGTAAATGCATTTCTTTTCATTGCTTTAACTGGATTCAGGTTTCAGTTACCAATTTAAAAAAAAAGCAGGTTCCTTTACAGAATGGTAAATGCATGAACATAAAAATTTGGTATTTAAGATATACCAGATTCTCATTATTTACTCATTACTGAAAGGTAATATGCCATTAACATTCAGGACTAACGTAAATAGTAATCCACTAAGCTTAAACAAAAAAGCTTTCTTTTTTAGCTTTCAAAAGTAAAAGTTATGAAGGTCTATATAGGAACTAAAGTGTCATATATTGCTTGAAAACAGACAACAACGTTGTCAAGATAAATATTACAAACCCAATAGGAATTAAAAAAAAATCCTTGGTAAATAAAGTAGTAATCTACATGCTTTGCAAAAAAAAAAAATCCCACCAAAACAGGCAAAGTAATAACCAAGTAGTACTGTAGCCAAGTTTATTACTAACTTCCCAGATAAAAATCCCAAACATTCAAGATGACAACTGAATATAGATCTTGAGATATAGAAAAATATATGCATCGTGTATACAGCAGTAATACAAGGTTTCACTGTCAGTAACGCTGGAGAATGGACAATTGCTTAGAGAAACAAGCCACCTGAGTATAAAGATTGGTCCAGTGTCACAGAAGAATAAATGTGTAAGTTAAACTTCAGCAACATACAAATCATGTTTCCTAGTTTTAGCATGTATAAGAAGAGAAACTACTCTATGCAGAAACCCAAACTAAATAAAGAGTTGGTTCACAAAGCAGCTGTAGCTGAGACACAATATACTAGTGACCACACTATTATGATTGCTATCCCATAAGAAAGGTAAATAAAAACCCTAGTCCATTGATACTATATATAAGAAAGGAAACGAAAAAATTAAGAATACAATAAAAAAGAATAAAAGTAAAAGCTTCAGTTATCAAATATTTAAATTCTGCAAGAAAAATTTGGAATGAAGGAATGCTAGCTTCAAACTGTCTCTCTAAAGAGAAAAGGAAGTGCCAAAAGTGTCAGAAGAACTGAATGCCAAATATTTAAGATATTATCAGATCAAATAAATGTCCACAAATAAAATGGAAATATAACTCAAATTTAACCATCTTCTCAACGTTTAGACATGTCTGTGCAATTGAAAATCTGTTTAGCAACCTCAAAGTCAAGCAAAACTGGCACTCCCAGTACTCGTGACCACAATTAACCTCATCAGCCAGGATCTGAATGTCCCAATACAGACAAAACAAGAAATCACATTTTATCTGAAGCTCCCTGATGCTGTTTCCACTCGACAGTAACTTTTCATGAACACCCTAGGCAGATTCAGCACTAGAAATGTGGGCATTTGAAGAGCAGTATCCTTCTCCAAAAAAGGAAGGCTGGCATAGCTGGCACTTGAAAAAACAGATTTTTATTCTGTTCAGTTTGTATCCTGACATTTGTTTTAGACATACGCTGCCAATCTCATTTCAATCTCACAAACTGGATTCAGTGATATGACTTTGGGACTAATTTTGCACAGGTGATGAAAATTTGTTTTAATATAAGTTTCCACTGCTGAATACTGGACACTTTTCCTGGATTAAAACAGGTGGACAGGATATGACACATTTCTGAAAGTACACATTTGAAAGAGAATAAATTCTAAGCCTGTAGAGCTAGGGAGGTCCAAGTCGTTCAGCACGACGTAAACGGCGCTGGCAGCAGGGGCAGCTTCAGTGGGGCTAGCCCGGCGCTGCCCTGTGCCAGACGCAGCCGGTTCCAGCCGGATCCAGCCGACCCGCCACAGGGCGCGGCTCAGCCCAGCAGCCAATGTGGGGGTGCCTTGGAGAAAAGCTGTTTAAGAAAAGACAAATACACTGCATGGCGGTGAGGAGTGAGGGAATGAAGTCTGAGAAGCGGACTTGGTGAGGACATCAAGGCGATAGGAGGTGCTCCGGGTGTCAGAGCAGACCTTCCCTTGCAGCCCATGGAGAAGACCACAGTGAAGCAGGTTGTTCTCCTGCAGACCATGAGAGACCGTGGCAGAGCAGATGTCTGTTCTGCAGCCCATAGAGGACCCCATGCTGGAGGAGGTGCAACCTGTGGAGAGCCCAAGCAGGAGCAGATTTTCTCCTAAGAAAGCCACAGCCCTTGGAGGATCCACATCAGACCAGGCTAAAAGTGTGAGGAGGAAGAAGCAGCCGAGAAGAGTTATTATGAACTGAGCCCAAACCCCACTCCACATCCTTCCCTGCAATGCTTGAGGCGGGAGAGGTAGAAGAGTCAGAAATAAATGAGGAAAGGAAAACCCAGAAGAGAAGGAGGTGGAAAAAGATGTTTTAGTTTCTGTCTTTGTTTCCCACCACCCAAACCTATTTTAACTGGTAATAAGTGAAATTAATTTTCCACAGATTGTCTGTTTCCCCATGATGGTAATTGCTAAGTAATTTCCTTGTCTTTGATTTCCCTAAAACTCAAAAACTTTTTCAGCTTATTTACATCCTCCTCACCATCCTCTTGAGCAAGGGGAGTGCAAGAGTGGCTGGGGGTGCCTCGCAGCCAGCCAAGGTCAACCCACCATGAGAGGATTTGTAATATTTGGTATATATTCAAAGGTGTATACATCATGTTCTCCTTTACTTTAGCTGTAAAAATTTGTTCCAGAATTGCATATCAGTCAAAAGTATTTTTATTATGTGACAATGCTAAGATACTGATACTGAATTCACCCTAACTGATTTGGTGTAACTAT